AAAAGAAAATCATATTTTTGATCAATTCTGCAAACATTCATATATATCTGATAACACACTTAGAAGAAATTGTATGAATTGTCTGCAAATGGTCAAAACCCGAAAATTCACCTAAAATCACCTTTAGTGTTAAATTGGTATCTTTGACCGATCATAGCACAAAAACGAACACACGGACATATTTTTTTTTTGCATTTTCTACTATGCCATTATCTCCTTTTTCCAACAATCAATATAAGAAAAAAAAATTAATACAGGAATTTTTTGACTTCTCAGAGGTGTACATCCTTAAAGGTTTTCAATGGCAAAAGGATTCTTTCCTCCCGAAATAATCTCATTAAAGGCATGAAATTACATGGAAAGAATGATATTGTCAAGGGTTCAAACGGCCACGTATCGATCCATTGCACAGCCACTCTGATTAAAAAGGCAGTCTTAATTATTACAAATATTGTAGAAAAAAAAGATACCCCTTTAATGTGACATCGTTTTAATATTTCTAATGGAAATGGCAAAAAAGATTCGCTTCCTTCAGAAATGATTTATTGCAATGCAGGAAATTATTTGAAACGGATGAATTTTAATTGCCACTTTGTTAAATTAATTGATCCATTTCAATATAATGTTGAATACTTTTCTAGATTGAAAAATCATATCGATACGAGACATTTGGAAAAGTATTGGTTTTTATTTACCTTAATTTCCCAAAAGAATTTTTTAAATATAATCACAGATAAGACCCCAGTAAGGCTACATGAATATTGACGTCGGTCCAAAAATACTTAAATTAAGTAAGCAAATGATTGCCTTATCGTTTACCCATCTAATCAATCTTAGCTTTTCTATATTTCTGATACATGGAAAGCTAGGGGAATCCCCCTATCTATAAAGGTAGTGACGTAACAAAGTACAGATTGACTTTGTCAGAGGCTTCTGATAGGTAAATCTCAAAAACAAATTCTTATAATTTTTTCATGAATTACAATCGGGTTTCAGACAAAATGAATCAAGTAATACTTGGTTTGTTTGTGTTTTACGTCCTATTAACAGCTATGGTCAGGTAAGGACGTGCCAGGTTATGGTGGTGGATGAAAGCTGGAGATCCCGGGGGAAAACCACCGACCTATGGCCAGTACCTGGCGACTGCCCCACGTAGGTCTCGAACCCGCGACTCGGTGGTGGAGGGATAGTGGTAGCAGAATGTCAGACGTTTAAATCACTTGGCCGCCCATTTCAAGTGATACAGCGTTAACATATTGCATAGATAAAAAAAATGGCGAAAACATATAGATGATGGTAAACTTTTAATCTAGTCGATCATTAAGTAGCTTGGAATATATTACTGTATCATGCAAAGTGTTTCTTAAAAATAACAGGAAAATAGAAAACAGAAGGTTGAGACAGAACGGGTTCCTCTTCCTCGAATAATACCACGAAAATAGAAAACAGAAGGTTGAGACATATTGTTAGATAAAACAAATGTTAGAATTATATACGGTAAATGAAGTATAAAAGCTATGAGATTTTAAAGTAGTACATTTCAAGTATATTTGTATGATATAATAGAATGAGTAGACATTCCTGTTGTTAAGCAATCAATACGCTTAGATACTGTTTTTGGTAAAATGCAAAACTATCGGCTTTTATTCTTTCTATTACTTCTATTATTTTGCTTATTTATTTGTTTTTTGTTTATTCCGGTTCTTATTTTGACAAAATTTGCTGATTCCCAAAGGTAAATAATATGATAGAAACACTCAGCTCTTTTCCTATACTTTCTTACTCTCATTATCCTGGCTGAAACTCAAACCAGACAACTGGATTTGTAATTGGAAGTAAATTCGCTCGTTAGATTTACGAGCGAAATGTCTCATTTTACGTCTCTCATCATGTGATAGTTACCTCCAAACTACCTGTCATCTATTGGAACCAATGCTCGTTCAAAAACCATTGCATACTACAACGGAAGAGCTCCTCTCTTCATCAGCGATTGACCCGCTGTTTCTGAGAAAAAGGGATCTTAAGAAACATGCCGTTGATGTGGCCTGGTTATTTTCCATCCTGGGGAGACGCTCGGCAATAGTCTCGCCCTTGTGCAGAAATCTCTCATTACTGGAATGACAGCTACTGTAGCCTTGCATAAGGGTTTGGGTAGGACTATGTCCGAATTAGATGCTCCTCCCTCTGACGTTGACCCAGCTAGGCCCAAGGCAATCCTCACAGACTTTTCTGGCCTCCCAAGATGTTCTTGACCAAATGGGTAGGGCATTTGCCTTTCAACACCATTCTCGACGAGCCCAGACAATTAAGGCCACTTGTCTATCATCAACAGCATTTCAGGCTGAACTTCTGGACAGGCTGCCAGAGGTCAGTCGGGGGTACATATTCTGGCTTTAAGGGAGCTGGTCGAGGCAAGGGTTCCTTTCAACAGAGGACCTCTGGTACAGGCTAGGGGAAAGGGGACCAAGACTGCTATTCCCCACTCGCCCCGTTTGAACATGGGAATCCCTCACGTAGTACTAGGACGTTGCCTCAGGAGATAAAGCCCTATATTGTTATAGGCGGGAGGCTAAGGTCATTTCTGCTGGAGTGACACAGACTTACTCAAGACTCACGTGTTCTTCCAAGGACAGGGTTGTGACACATACTCCTGTCCTCAGGTATCTCGTGGCAGAGCACACTCTAGACGCAGAGATAGAGTTGCCTCTACTAAAGGAAGTATTCTGTCCTAATCAGATCGGAGACGGGTTCTACAGCACCATCTTTCTAACTCCGCAAAAGACGGGCGGGTATCGGCCCATCCTCAATTTGAAGCCTTTCAACCATATTGTTGTGTGGAAGGGGTTCAAGTTCGACACCATTCGATCGGTAAAACTGGGAATCTGACCCAAGATTTTTGAAACATCCCTGGACCTGAAGGATGTATACTGCCAAATCCCAATACTTCATTCTCATCAGAAGGATCTGAGGTTCGCCTTGCAAAGGCTGACATTACCAGTTTATGGCCCTCTCATTTGGACTGTCATCGGCCCCTCGGATGTTCTGCAAAATTTTGGCCCAGTACTTGAACAGTTCCATACTTTTGGGCTCAGGTTTACAAAACTGGGTTGGGTAATTTCAGTAGAAAAATCTCAAGTGATCCCCAGTCAGAGTTTCACATACATAGTCCCCGGGGCCTTTTCAACACAGTCTTGGTGGGTCCGACATTTTCGACAAACATTCAAACCTTGGCACTTCGATTGTTAGAAACAGGTTATATGGAAGTTCTCACTTGGTCACATGTCTTCAATGATCGACCTGGTACCTCTTACCAACCTGCACATGAGAAGCATACAGCTGTGTCTCCTGAGGTAATGGCGTCCCAAGAGGAACTCATTAGGGATTCATATAGATCCGCTGGAAATACAGGATCTTCATTGGTTTGGAAATCCATCAGTCTGGCATTAAGGAGGCCCAATAAGGCCCTCTCCAGTGGAAACGGAGCCCACTACCAGTTTACTGATCCTGGATGAGAGATCCCGAGGCATATCAAACAGACAAACTAGCAATGTCGTGGGAGAACATTCTGGGATACGCTTTTCCAGCCATCTCCATGATCCCAAGGGTTCTAGAGCATCTACAGAGGTATCAATGCAGGATGGTAGCCCCAAGGTGACCTCGCAGGCCTTAGTTCCCACAAATCCTCCACCTTCGTGAGGATTTCCCATGGACCCTTCTAGTGTCTGAACCCTCAATATGTCAGGGTCGGACCTCTACCACCCGGATCCGGAATTCTTGAGACTAACAGAATGGCCTGTTTCCGGAATCGAGTCTCAGAGAGGAGTTTCACAAACAGCTCACAATCTCCTCATGGCATCCAGGAGACCTAGTACAGAGAGGGTCTACGCAGCTCAGGACCGAGTCCTCCGTAGATGATGCATCTTGATGATCTTGCTTCTTTGAAGAATGTGCTGATTTTTCTAGCTCATTTGTTTGATTCGGGAAAGCAATACAGAACTATCTGTGTCTACAGGTCCTTGCTTTCCAGTACTCTGGCATCGATGGGGGCAAAAAGATAGGTGAGTATCCGAAAGTTATCCAACTCCTTAAAAGGGTGTTCAACTCGCGTCCTCCAGTGAAATATTTCGTCCCCGATTTTGGACCCACATTTTCAGAAGGAAATTGTAGTTTCTTCCTTTCCTGACAAGCTACTGGACATAAATAGAGTGATGACTTATTACGTGCCCACCTCAGAGTGGGCTCGTACTAAGTCGTCTCAGCCTGATATTTAAACCAGCTTCTCCTCAGACTCTTTCGAGTTGGCGTACAGCTACTATCAGACTGGCGTATCACATAGCGCCACATTCAGATGTCCCCAATGCCAAGACTCATTCGGTTAGAGCCATAGCCCCTAATTGTGCCGCAATCAAAGGGGTACCCAAGAACGAAGTCCTTCAAGCGGCAGACTGGCGTCGGGAAATCACTTTAATTTAACATTACATGAGAGATATGAAGGAATACATAACAGGATTTGGCAAAGAAGTCCTGACGGCAGTGGATCACATGATGAAAGAAGTAAAATGAGAGATTTATCTCGTAAATCTAGATTTTACGAGCGAAATCAGGCGATATTTAACAGGGAAAGGGCTTGATATAAGTTGTAAAACTTGTGCTCAATTCCATTGCTATGTAAAAAAGGCAATAAAATATGTTTAAAACAATATTTAACTGCCCTCCCATCCATCCCCCTATGTTTCAAGAAGTGTTTTGGGGTTCACTGCCGTAGTGAAAATAGCGGTATGTAGTTGCCCAGATTGCAGGATCTGATAGGAGAGGAGCCGGTGGGCATGCGCAAGTTTTTGTTTATTTCCGACTTCTTCTCACGAGGGTAGGTACGTAAACACTATGCCACTTCGGTAGTAGTAAGATAATTGGTCTTCGAGATAGTGGTTGATTGTTATTAATACAAATATCTTGACTTCTTTATACAAAACACAGGCACACAGCCAGATATATGGACGTTTTTAATTTCGGATCTGATGAAAACACAATATCAACATATGAATAATTATTAGCAGTATATTCGATAAACAATAATGACAATAAAAACACAAAAACTTGGCCAGTTCGAATTGAAAACCTCTTTTGCATGTATTGTGAGAAATTCGACAGGTAAAACAAACAGATACTTTCCAATAACGGTGTTTTGTAAATGCTCAGCCATTGTACTTTTAAATGTCAAATAAAGAATTTAAAAACCTAAAATAATTATTATCATCAGTTGTTATCTTGAATGATATATATTTTAAGATAAATATTTGTCAATTTTACCAGCGAATTTGTTTCAATCACACTGTAGGAGGTACTTAATGCGTTATATTATATCGATGCAATGTAGATCAGGGATAAACGAAAACGTAAACAATTAAAATTTAATCAAATAACCTTTCTTTCACTACATAACAGCATCACATAAGTATTAATTAATGAAAATGTACGAAAATAACATTAGTGTTATAAATGGACTCATATACACGCGTTATATTAACTCCCTCATCTGTCCCAGCCAACGTTACACACATACCTGAATATACACACACTAACTTTTTTCCGTCGTATTCTAGGTACATAATAAATTTAATTTATTTTTACTATAGAAAGTTATCAAGGTTAAATGTTAAAATCATCTCTTAAATATGCCAAAATATCCACAAGCGAGTCTGAAAAACACATGAAAGCACATTCAAATTATAAAGATTGATAAACAACATGTTGGAGATTACTTCCGGGAAGCATCACTTCCGGGATTAATTTCTTCCTGTTAAGTAACTAATATAAATGAATGACACTAATAAACATTACATATCAATGTCGTTAACACAAAATCATCGTATACTCTTGTTTGGTCTAATATTTTCATATGTATTCCAAAAATTAAAACATCTTAATTAAATACATCAACTTAATGCGTTAAGTATACCAGGTATTGATACTTCAAAACCTGGTTAAAATAGCGCCGAGACCTCGACAAAAGCAAGTAGTAAAATAGTATAAAACACTCAACATTGCACATGTTGTACCACGAAACAGTCTCAATTCACACACGCGTACCTGCATATGCACACATACACCCACAAATACATATATACATATATACATATATGTTAATGCACAACGACCTGAAATCTTTACCTGTACCCAGTGTTTTTCTCCATTAAATAATCAACCTATTAATGCAATAGAGTAAAAGGAACAACTTTCTTCCTGTAAAACATATATATAATTCGTGTGTAATGGTGTCACAATGTTACTGATATCATGACAGCTTGTATTACAAGCAGAAAAAATTTATGAATTATGATCCTGTGCTCGGTGATGGCGTTGTCTTGACGTCACTTCCGGTGAAGTAATAACAAATAGAATACTGTGCAATTGACTGTTACCGTTTTGCATGTCTGCTTCATATTCCGCAATAACTGCCTCCTAAATTGAGCATATTTATGAAAATAATACAATCAGTCTAGAATCCTTGTAGTCATAAGTCAGTCTGAGGCTGGACTCGCGTCATTGGCAACACTTCCGACTTTGTCACGACAACGTCGTTTTCGTCTTCGGGCATGGCCTGGATGGCCTGGTCCACCATACCGGTTACTTGGGTGTGACGCTCGTCACTCACCGTTCTCATACATGGGCACCACGGGTACAGACTGGGGAATGTCTTCGCGAACGCTTTCTTAAACCCGTCATTGAGGAATGCATACACAAATGGATTTACACACGAGTTTGCATAGGATAAAGTATGAGCGAATATTTTAATACCGTACATTAAAGAAGTTTGAGGAATTGTGACGAATTTTCTACAAAAGTTGTAAACATGGATTGGGAACCAAAACGTAGCAAACAACAGAACCACCACGGCCACCATCCGGGTTACTCGCCGTCTGCGCCGGACCTGAGACTCGCTCGATAACGGGGCCGACCCGTTACAGTCCTCCTACATAACAGAAAACAAAATCGACATTTGAAAAAAGCCTGATTGTATCAAGAAATCATCAATAAAATTATAAAGCCGAATCGTTAATTGTAAACTAAGTATAGCTCATTCAAATGCTACAGCGGCCATTTTGTCGGATCATTTTTTACAAATCGCACCTGGTTTGAAAGTAGGATGTTCAACTTAACTTAAATTTTCCTTAAACGTTACGTGTCAAACTAACTGACACTGATGTAGTAATATTCATTCACTTTCGATACATTTCTAAAATATTCCGCTTGGATTTAGGCGATAAAAAAAAGATTTTCGAACGACAAGCCCCGAAATACTGTGAACAACCGTTTTACATCTATATACTATTTATGTACGATATATGTTTAACCAATCATCAAAAATTACCTCAATATACCAATATATATTCCCAACAACATTAAGTTATTGTCGATATATATTGTCGAAATACAAATTTTGCGCGGAAAACTATGGAGAACCATATTTCTGAAGAAAATACTCTTACATTCGTTGTTCTACACGCATATTTAAACTTAAAATGTTGTTGTTTTCCACCTATTCTTCATGATTTTATAATACTTTGTTTATTATGGTTTATTTGCCTACGCGGAGCACTTTTAAATGGTTAATGAGCCTTTTAAAGCAAGAAAAACTCTTCTGTTTATATTATCAGAAATCTTTATTAAGGACTTAGCGCCCAGAACTCGCTCGACATATCCAAGTTCGGGATACGTTTCGTCAACATAATTGTATATTTTATCAGCAAAGATGAATTAAAGCCAGGACAAAATATCCTTCTTATTTTAATAGTGATATTGAAATAAGTCCTAAATTACTCAAATTATTGATGGGCCATTAAAAAAAACATCCATCTTAGTGCAAACAAATAATATTAATACACAACATTTGATCCACTCTAACGCGCTCTACAGTACAAAGATATACACTAAGTACAATTAGTATATACATTAATCAATACAATTTTTGAGGAATTCGCAGGAGCTGCCTTATCAGGCGCTAACTACCAGTCATATGCTACCTTGCTAATATCTCCCTATGAGTGTATATACCTGCGACTGTTCTAGAGATATAATGATGACAACTGTAGCGGGACTACAAATGAATGCATCGTATCTGACAGAAAGCATCAATTCTGTTAAGATACGAAGTTCCCTTAATGTCAAAAATCAGCTACGCTTATATTTTACCATACCTCTTGTTTGAAGCTACTGCTGCGCTTAGCCCTTCCGTTCCAAATATATTTGAGGATACTGTAATAGCAGATGACAATTACACTCAATGGGAACACGTAGGTGGTAATGATGACGCCCACGGAGGACACGTTGTCCAGAGTGACGTTCGGATAGACCTCGGCACAGTACACATTTTTGTTGGCGTTCAGATGATTGACAGTTCCATGGTATATAGCAAACGGTATAGAGATCATCAATGAGACTGAAAATACACAAAGGCGTGGTTAGTGATAACATCATTATCTTTCAATTACATGTGTTATTCAATACAAGTTGTTGAGGTAGTACACTTGTGATAGGTCGGAACTAAACACTTATGAATGGCCGTCACATTACAATTGTGATTGGTCACACTACACTACACTTGTGATTGGTCGTCACACTTAACTTGTGATTGGTCAAAATAAAACACTTGTGATTGGTCGTCACACTAAACTTGTGATTGGTCAAAATAAAACACTTGTGATTAGTCGTCACTCTACATTACACTTGTGATAGGTCGGAACTAAACACTTATGAATGGCCGTCACGTTACCATGGTGAATGGTCACACTACACTACACTTAAAATTAGTCGTCACACTAAACTTGTGATCGTTCAGAATAAATCACTTGTGATTGGTCGATAACCTACGTTTATGAATGGTCGGTACTCTTTACTTATGACTGGTCTCACTAGACTTGTGATTGGTAGGTAACATTCACTTGTGATTGGTCGGACTACAACACTTGTGATTGGTCGGGAACATGCACTTGTGATTTGTCGGTAACACACACTTGTTTTTGGTCAGAATAAAACACTTGTAATTGGTCGGAACCTACATTTATGATTGGTCTGACTAAAACACTTGTGATTGGTCGGTAACATTCACTTGTGATTGGTCGGACTTAAACACTTGTGATTGGTCGGTAACACACTCTTGTGATTGGCCGGACTGAAACACTTGAGATTGGTCGGTAACATTCAGTTGTGATTGGTCTTGATTTGTCGGTAACATACACTTGTGATTGGACGGTAACATTCAATTGTGATTGGTCAGAATAAAACACTTGTAATTGGTCGAAACCTACATTTATGATTAATCTGACTGAAACATTTGTGATTGGTCTGTCACATTCACTTGTGATTGGTCTTGATTGGTCGGTAACACACACTTGTGATTGGTGGGTAACATTCACTTGTGATTGGTCAGAATAAAACACTTGTAATTGGTCGAAACCTACATTTATGATTGATCTGACTGAAACACTTGTGATTGGTCAGTCACATTCACTTGTGATTGGTCGGACTGAAACACTTGTGATTGGTCGGTAACAAACACTTGTGATTGGTCGGTAACAAACACTTGTGATTGGTCCGACTGAAAAACTTGTGATTGGTCGGTAATAAACACTTGTGATTGGTCGGTAACAAACACTTGTGAATGGTGGATACAATACTCGTTGTTTTTGGTCGGTAACCTACACATGTGATTGGTCGGTAACCTACACATCTGATTGGTCGGACTGAAACACTTGTGATTGGTCGGTACACTACACATGTGATTGGTCGGTACCCTTCACATGTGATTGGTCGGTACACTTCACCTGTGATTGGTCGGTAACCTACACTTGTGATTGGTCGGTAACAAACACTTGTGATTGGTCGGTACACTACACATGTGATTGGTTGGTACACCACACATGTGATTGGTCGGTACACCACACATGTGATTGGTCGGTACACTTCACATGTGATTGGTCGGTAACCTACACTTGTGATTGGTCGGTACACTACACATGTGATTGCTTGGTACACCACACATGTGATTGGTCGGAAGCCTACACATGTGATTGGTCGATACACTACACATGTGATTGTTCGGTACACGACACATGTGATTGGTCGGTAACCTACACATGTGATTGTTTGGGACACCACACAGATTGGTCGGTACACTACACATTTGATTGGTCGGTAGCCTACACATGTGATTGGTCGATACACTACACATGTGATTGTTCGGTACACGACACATGTGATTGGTCGGTCCACTACACATGTGATTGGTCTGTACACAACACCTGTGATTGGTCGGTAACCTACACATGTGATTGGTCGGTACACTACACATGTGATTGGTCGGTACACTACACATGTGATTAGTCGGTACACTACACTTGTGATTGGTTGGTAACCTTCACTTGTGATTGGTCGGTACACTACACATGTGATTGGTCGGTACACTACACTTGTGATTGGTCGGTAACCTACACATGTGATTGGTTGGTACACCACACAGATTGGTCGGTACACTACACATGTGATTGGTCGGTAACCTACACATGTGATTGATTGGTAACCTACACATGTGATTGGTTGGTAACCTACACATGTGATTGGTTGGTACACCACATATGTGATTGGTCGGTACACTACACATGTGATTGGTCGGTACACTACACATGTGATTGGTCGGTAACCTACATATGTGATTGGTTGATAATCTACACTAACGAATGGCAGATATCGTACACGACACGATTCATTAGGTTCACAACCATATAAGGTAAAATTGGAATAAGAAATTTGAGTTTTTTAACGTACAAATACTATGTACTTACTTGCCCAAACAACTATACTGACGATCGATGACGCCCTCCTCGATCGCCAGTTCATAGAGCTGACTGGGTGTACGATGGCATGGTAACGGTCAACGGTCATGGCGGTCAAGGTCAAACATGTAGCGTGCAAAGTCACCTGCAAGAACAAAAGTATGACATTGGTTATTCTTTGATAGCTTTATATAACTCTTAATAAATCTTGACAAATCAATATCTGTGATACAAAATATTTGTGCTTTAGAAAGGTGTCAACACTGTCTGTTTGGTATCTAGTTTTAAAGCCCTCTTATGGGAACCGATGATTAAAAAGCGATTTGTATGCGTCCTTTAGGGATCATGCAAGATCGATGAGTTAAAACTTGAACAGGGTAAACAAACTTATTACCAAACAAATGTGCAAGTGAGAAAAAAATGTTGTTTCCGTAATATTAAAATATGTTTTCAAATATATCCTTATACCGCATAGCACGACTGGTTGTAAATCAGCTTTGTAACCACAGGCCGTAGGAATCCAACTAAGACGAGGATGCCTGTACTCATTAATCGTTTTTTTCAAATGGTATTACTTCGCTATTCTGGCGCTATACAACGTTTGAGCCGTAATTCGTTTCCTTTATTGGCGAAATATTTATCATTGGTATTTGAAGAATTCAGCCGACCCCTCTCTGAAACGACGCTAGCTGTACAGTGATAACACTGTGATCAATCCATCCTGTTTATAGGCCTCGACAGTCGAGTAAATAAGGAATGGAATAATGAATTAATGGATAAAAGCCAAACAACGGTGATAATTCTAAATTCTTGTTAATGTGGCGCTTGGAAATCCGCTTCAAATAATAAAGTGACCAGTTTTGAATCAATCACTGAGGTGACCATGAATACTGGATTTCAGTGACGCCAGTGCCGTTACTTTGCCTATACACAAACAAAGTACAGTAATTGTCACAAAATACTTTTAATTCGAGTTGTGTTGGATATATAGTTTAAAGGTGTGACTATACGGATAAAATAAGCTTCCTGAAATATATATATATGCATGTTGACCGATAGTTACATGTTGTTGTGCCGTAAAACGTTGAAAACTGCCCCTAATGGAAAATGGAACCGGGGTCAATTTCAACGAGAGAGTCATTTTTTTCAAGAATACCCGGTTCCATAGTCAATGTTTAAACTGACCCAGGTTCCATTTTCAACGTTGTCACTTCCAAATCAGAACGATTTACCAATAAATTGTATGTGCATCTTCACTATTTTTCTTGCAGCCGTCCAGTAGTAAAAAAGCGTTGTTGGACATAAATATTCCTATTACAAGACCACTGACATGAAACATTCACAATTCTGAGTTTCATTTTCTGTCATGGCAATGTAGATACCAGATGAGATCAGAAAGTTCAAACCTTTCTCAAACTGCAGCCCTATTGTATAATAAACTTCACCCTCTGTCGTCATATCGTAGACATATTATTTCGAAGCGTATGGTTCACAGTCGCCTTGTCGTTACCATGATTTTCTTCAGTTACTTGTTAACGGCTATGACACCCACATTGAACAAAAGTTCGGTCTTGAGTCAAATTCAAATTGATCGCTGAGTTGTGTTAAATCTATTTTGCTGAAATGCACACACAAACCTTGTATCTAGGATCATTTTTTTCCTTAAAAAAAAGGTATCGGTAAAGACTTTTCATAATTTCAAATGCGGTTCCTTCTTTGGCGTCTTAATGTTTTAATCGACCCCTTGATATTTTGATAAAACAAAAAGTTGATTTGTTCAACGAAGACACTTATTTAATAATTTTGAAAGTACCAAGAGGTACTTATACCTCTGTCAGAATTGGTATTGTCTAAAATGTCAACCGCACGACCGGCCTTTTTAGCGGTAATGTGACCTCTAAAATAGAACACAAAATATATTCAAAAATAAACGATAGGGATATTACTGTGAACTGTGTACTTGACTTATGCAATAATAATAATAATAATTCGAGGTTCGTACGTAGGTCGTCTTAAAGCGGTTTACAAATTATTATCCGTGGTTATAGGCCTTTTGCAACCAGACAACTACATACTTATTTTTCAGCTGAATAGACTGGAACAAGCGGAGTAAAGTTGTTCAAAGATACAACACAGCGCAGTGGGGTGACTCGAACCCGCAACCCTTCGGTCACGAGCCCGGTGTCATACCACTTGACTACCATGCCTCCATGTACAAAACATTTTTGTTATTGATATTGAACAATTTAAGAAATTAAAACCGTTTTTTGTATTGATAGTTACATTATTTGTAAATTTTAGATCACCCTTTGTCACTTATGAACAACACAATTGTGCCACTATGACCTTGACCTTTGAAAACGTTGATATTAATATTTAGTTTTACCTAACATTGTCACAGCGAAATAAAAGGTATGGTACACTGTTTGATAATAAGACCAATTTTACCTGTGATATCAGGTAACCCACATATAGAGCAATGCTTCGAAGTCAACGAAACATAATTTCATATCCGGTACCTTGAAGTGTTCCTCAAATATGTATCGAAAATCTAAATTATATTACAAAATGCCCCGCTGTTAAAGGGTAGTCACATACTTGAAATGCACATTATTTGTAGGAGGATCTCCCGAATTTAGAGTATGCAAAAGAGCGAGATAAGTACGTCCAGCTGGGCCAAAATTCATAAAACCGTTCTCATGCTCAAATATTGATATTGCGCTCAAGCCTAATTTCTTGTTTCGGTTACAAATTATTGAAAATATCTTATTTTGTCAATGATTTGGGAATATGTTGAAGACTTAAACCCGCATACTGTTTTCAGTGTTAACAATTGACTTTTTTATTGTTAAGTTTCAAAATTATATTTTCAAACAATGTATCACAATGCCAAAAAATAATTTCGAGTATCTGTTTTAGTGCGGAATGCAAGTGCTGATCCGGATATTATTTACAGTCAGGTTATAGTATCCGTTTAATTTATTAGGCGACGTAACCGAACTTCCTTTTTTCTAGAACATACGTATGCGGCAGGCTTTCTGACTCAATTGCAAATTTTACCCTCCCACACACCCAATTATAATATTTTCTGGCGCCAGTGTTTTTCTTGTGAGCATGATCTTCATGGAGAGTATTTCATGTTGAGGACTGTTTGGCATAAAGTTTCAGATCACCTGTTTCTTTAGCACAGTTCAATGATAAATCGATGCATATCAGTTTTATAGTATGTAGCTGGAAAGTTAATTTGGATGATTCTTTGTTCCCACTGGTCACTCCAAATTATTCTTATATATATTTATATACCACGACAATACCTTACCAAGACATTAGTATTTAAGATAAAATTCATTGAAATTGTTGTGTTGTGGTTAATTGGTGACTATTTGATAACTGACATGATTTAATTGAGTTAAAAGAAAACTGGTTTGAGCACATAATCAATGCTTGAGCATGAGAATGATTTTATGAATACGGGCCAAAAGCGAATGCCGGGAGTGGACAACGTCCTCTTTTTTCGACTGAACAGACAAACTTAAAGCTCTGGCACACGAACTTCGTACACATGTATATTATGTTTAACATTATGATACAGGCATAACAACGTATCTGTCGTTAATTACATGTTTAAAAATTATGACGTTCAGTATTATAATATTTCGATCATGAGATGAGGCATTGGTGAAGCGATCTCCTGTACGTTGAATTGTATACTGTGATTATAACTTAAATTCCAAACTGCCATTCAGTGATTTATATAGATATAGAAACGACATCTATGTGTATATTTATAGTATTTAGCTCAACATTTTCAAAATGATAGATCTGAATATTCTTTATAAAAGAAAGCTACAAAAGTTAACAATCTCGCCTTTTCGAATCAAGAACACTACGTGAGACAGTAATATATAAAGTTCATGATTCTTTTCTGTATCAAGCGTTCCGAAGATATCGACCATCTCAATTAGACGCTTGAAAGGATTCACCGGAATTTCGTCAATAGCTCACAGATTAATCCAATCTCTTCCTAACAGATTGAATTAAATGTGAATAAGTTCTTGTCCCACACTTGACGTGATTCGTGTCATTTGTGTGTTGTATATTTTGTCTCACCCTCTCGAGATATTGGATTCGGAGATTATTGTTTCGTACATTTCACAGCAATTCCTATAGAGAATGAGATTTTACATTGAGGAAATCTGCTTGAGCAATTCAAAAAAGTTATATTGTTTTTACAAAAAAAGCAAGCTAGAAAGATTTACAAAAAAAGACCTTTATCACAAAGAGTAATGTAGGACTTAATGTTTAAATCAGTGACCCGAGGGCTGTATTCAATGTATTTATCACTGTTCCAAGGGCTGTATGTAATGTGTAATTCAGTAACCCGAGAACTGTATTAAATGTTAAAATCAGTGACGCGATGGCTGTATTTAATGTGTATATCACTGACGCGATGGCTGTATTTAATGTGTAAATCACTGACACGAGGGCTGTATTTAATGTTTAAATCAGTGACCCGAGGGCTGCATTTAATGTGTAAATTAGTGGCCCAGGGACTGTATATAATGTGTAAATCAGTGACCCGAGGGTGGTATTTAATGTCTAAATCACTGACCCGAGGGTGGTATTTAATGTGTAAATCACTGACCCGAGGGTGTTATTTAACGTGTAAATCACTGACACGAGGGCTGTATTTAATGTGTAAATCAGTGACCCGAGGGCTGTATTAAATGTGTAAATCAGTGACCCGAGGGCTGTATTAAATGTGTAAATCAGTTACCCGAGGGCTGTATATAATGTAAATCAGTGACCTAAGGGTTATATATTTTGTGTAAATTAGTGACCCAGGGACTGTATATAAGTGTAAATCACTGACCCGAGGGTGGTATTTAATGTGTAAATCACTGACCCGAGGGTGTTATTTAATGTGTAAATCAGTGACCCAAGGGCTGTATTAGATGTGTAAATCAGTGACCCAAGGGCTGTATTAAATGTGTAAATCAGTGACGCGAGGGCTGTATTAAATGTGTAAATCAGTTACCCGAGGGCTGTATATAATGTAAATCAGTGACCTTAGGGTTATATATTTTGTGTAAATCAGTGGCCAGAGGGTTGTATATAATGTGTAAATCAGTTACCCGAGGGCGG